AGTACATTTTAGAGCCTGTACTTTTTCACTTTTACTTACTAAAGGAGTTGAATCAGTACTTCTACTTTTCCCTACACAATTATATGTGCTTCTGAGTAAAGAACGTGTGTATTTTATGCTGCCAGTAACATGAATCTTGTGTCAGTGCTTTAATCACTCCACCAGACTGCAAACACATTTCACATGTTATTTGTAAATGGGGAAGGATGTACTACTTTGCTTTCCTTACTTGACATCTTCCATGAGACTAACTGAGGACTCTGACCAAACAGCAGGAAGAAGAAGGGAAAATCTGAATAATAAATTGAGTTTAAAGTTGTTTAATTAATTCCTGGATTAGCATGATTGAGGACCAGCAGGTGTCCGGCTCCCTTACTGGGACCAAAGACTGAACACTGCTGCTGGACTGTGTGGCTCTGAATATGCGCTGTTTGTATTCCGCAGTCATGTTTCACTCTAAATAATTAATGCCAAGAGATATTTCAGAAGCACTTTTGTTAAGCTCCCCTAATAATCCATAATGACCAACAGACTCCCGGAATTTATTATCAGCTCTCCTCATAGATAATTACAAGCAAAGTGTTATTTATGATCATTATAACCTTGGAAGGAATCACTTGCCAAAAGACAGCAGAGTGCTGAGAGAAATAATGTGTTTCTGTTCTTCATCAGGTACGATGGTTTTCCAGTGTTAAGTCTTGACCTGTTCGACCCTGTGGAGGGCCTGCGGACCCCCTCCTCCCGCCTCGCTGCCAGGCACAGCTGTCCCACCAGCCCTGCCCCCATGTTTAGACGCACCAAGCAGGTCAGCATAGCAGTAACTCACTATTGTCACACAATGATTTATTGATTTATCTGTTTTTAGTGCTGAGCGGATGGTATTTTTCCAGACTTAACCTGAAATGAGAGCAACAGTGAAAGGTTGTTTTTCTAAAATTGTCAAACTTGCAGCCAAAATATACATCCAACAATTTAAATAATCAGATGATCTTCAAAGAAAAAATGACTCCCTAAATAAATGAGAGCCAAAAGGGTTGGTCAGTTTTATAACTGGCAATTCAGCATATCTGCCAGAACTGCCTTAAGCAATAGATAGGCCTACATAAAAGACAAATGACAAAGAATGAAGGATATTGAAGTTTGGTATACTTTATATTAAGATACACATATTCACCATTAACTAGTTGCTAATTAGCTACCATTTTAGTAGCATATTGGCTATTTATTAGTCATTATAAAGCACATATGTCTGTCTATATTCTAAGAGTCTTCCCTTAATAACCTCCTAATTCCTGCTTATTGATAGTAAGTAAGGAAGTTTTTAACTTATATTCTTTGCTCAGTATGAGCTAAAGTGACAAGACTTTGGACTATTAAACCTTGTATTTATATATTTATTTATTTATTTTAAATTATCCCAGTTTTTTACTAAGTTATGAGCAAGATCTCACTTTAGTGGGAACGTATTCTAAAAGATGAGATTTCAGCCTAAAGATTTTGAGTGAAATCACACATCCATGAGTCTGATTTGTGCATTAAAGAATTCCTTTTCCTCACCCTCACCTCAACATCCACAGGAGATCAAGTCAGCCCAGAAGATAGCCAAGAAGTACTCGTCCATCCCCCAGCTGTGGTCCAAGTGCCTGCTCCGTCACTGCTATGGCCTGTGGTTCATCTGTCTGCCAGCATACGTGAAGGTGTGCCACTCCAAGGTGCGGGCACTTCGCACCGCCTACGACGTCCTCAGGAAGATGCAGGCAAAGAAACTGCAACCCCCCGACGAGGTACGTTAACCATTTCCAAAAATACCTGTTTGACATTAATTCAACCAGACAACAATGTTTCCACTCATTTTAGATCAGCCAGTTATCTCACACCGAGGTCTATTTTTAGAGGTTATTGTCTTTCTGTCTGAACAATCACACATGTACTATACAGGTCTGCTACCGGGTGCTGATGCAGCTGTGTGGACAGTATGGCCAACCTGTCCTGGCAGTCAGGGTCCTTTTTGAGATGAAGAAGGCCGGAGTCCACCCCAATGCCATCACTTACGGCTACTACAACAAGGTAAAAAGCCATAAATTATTGTATATATATTATATTTTATTTATTTATTTGATAGAGACAAAGTATGTTTACGAACAGATGCTGTCAAGCCATTTTTGCTAAACCCAAGACCCATATAATCCATGAATGATTTTTTTTGCCTTGCTTTTGTGCTGAGTTTCACAAAATTCAACCGTTTTTGGCAGAAAAATATACAGATACAAATATATAATACTTACAATTGTCATGTATGGTTGATAAAGTGGTGCGATCTAAATCTGCCAGTAAAGACAGAGGTTTTTTTATTTATGTCATGTCAACATTGCGCTTGGATTCAAATGGGAATAAAGGGGGCAACTCACCAGTATCTAGCCAGTGCAGTGTCTTACACAAGTGCTAATAAAAATATATTAGCAGTGGGACTCCCCGCCCTGGGTGTGGTGTTCCTGATGTGGGTGTGTTAAGAATATTCTGCTGATTCTGCTGCAAGTTGGACTAATGTGTGAACACGCCCATGACAGCCGAGGTGTCAAACTAATCTCTGGGAAGACTTTTCCAGTGGGATAGTCCCCTTTTCCATCAGATGTGATGGATGAAGACACGGACTGAGTCAGAGCAATAAAACACAATAAAAGTCAGGAGAATTGGCTACTGTTCAAATCAAACAGTCATTATGCTCATATCGAATGGACGGGCTATATTAGAATATATCATAAAAGATTAAAGTTGATTTTAAGATGCAGAGAAATATCATGACACAAAATAACTACAATGACCTTAAGTAAACATGCTAATAATATGCAGTTTCTGTAAAAGTTAAGTCATACTCTGCATAAAAGTATGTTAGAAAACTGTGCGATATATTATAAAGCTGACTGATTGCAGCCTAGATGCTGATTGTTTATTCATGATTTACAATAGGCGCTTAAATAATTGCATCCAAACTATTACCCCACTGTTGCTCCATCACTAAAATTCATTCCTCTCTGGTTGGTACTCACGAGGCAGAGACACACTTCATCACAATAATGCCTCTGCAGACACTCGGCTTGCACATAAAAAGAAACATCGGTGACATTTGCAGTTTCCCGCCAAGGTTGTACGGTGTCGCGTGTGATCACACCCAGGTGTCAGGATGAATCGTGGCTCTGTTATTACTGCAACCTGTCCCTGGTCTGGCAACCCGGGGAGCGAAAAAAGTAAATTGGCTGATGTAGGAGTTGGCTGTTGGGAGACAAGGCCACGGTACAGGTTACGTCGCTGTGTTTTGAGCCTTCAGAGGTTCTTGTTTCATCTTAGAAATGGACGGCTTGAAGGGAAAAGGTGGCTGATCCCTCCACTGACACAATCAGTATCTGCTGCAGCTCCTGCATCCGACAGTTGTTGCTGGTTTTTCCCACCTTCATGCTTCTTTAGGTTTTCGAAGTCCAAGGATAGGAAAGAGGTTTTGTTTGTGTACGGGCTCATTTATTAATTCTGGCATTTATTCCCCTTTAAATACAGATGCTTTAGCACAGAGTTTTTAAAATACAGAATATAAAATTGAACTCAACTAAGGAGCTAAAAACTAACCTGAAACTCAACTGAAAAGAAAATTCCTCCTTGAAATAGAACATAAAACTAATTTCTGAGAGTGGAAGTAGAATAACTTTGATGCTCCCCTGTAAACGGATCTCTGTGCCAAAGTTACCACTGTTTGCTGTTCTCTATCTAAAGCCCCCCCGTCATTTGCAGTTTAAATATACCTGTTCCCTGCAGAACAGCACTCGAGGCAAAGCACCACACGATAGCACAGTTCAATTCAAGTTTCCACAACTGTACTATTAAGTTTCTTATTCCTGTACCCTTGAGAAATAATACCCAACCAAATATCTGATTATTATTTGCAGCTCAAGAAATGTTAGAAAAACAAAAACATACTTTCACATTTCCATCGGTGAGAGTCGTACAATTTTCTGTGTCAGAGTTTCGGAATGTGTAAATCCATTCTGGGAGAATCGAGGAACTTTACACACAATTTATCTCACATTTCTTATACCGAGTCTTTTAGAAAAACAACAATAACAACCCGAGAAGTGTCAACATCATTAAGTCAAGACAGACTTTCTGGGTTTTCGCATCACAGCAGGAAACTTTGAACTGTCTTTCTTCTACACTGGGTTTTGGCCTCAGTGGGTTAGACTCTATAACAACAGCGCTGGGATTTGGATGACTCACTGCACTAACAATTCTCCATCATCAGCATCCCTTTATGCACTTTGTCTGTAAATAAGAACACAATGGGAGACTAATGGTGAGACCCTAGTTTTGGTTGAGCAAGAAGTCAGGTCGTTAACAACCTTTTCTCCTGTAACAGTCGATTAGAATTTGCTTTCTTGTCGCTAGAAGGCCGATACCTCATTCAGATTTGTTAATTAAATATGACGCTACAGCCTCGAGACAGGTAGTTTAGCTTAGCATACAACTGGAAATGGGGAAACAGCTAGCCTGGCTCTGTCAAAGAAGCGAAAAAACATGTAGCTAAAACTCACTCATTACCACATAATATCTCATTCTCAGTCTTTCACCATGAGGTGTGCTAAATATGAAGCTAGACGGGTCTTGGCCCTGTCCAAAGAAATAGTTCAAGCTTCCCGTCAAACCACAACTTTTTGTTTTGGCACTTTGTTTTATGGATTAAACAAACAACATTTAATGTGGTAACTGGTGAGCTGTAGAGGTGCAATCTATTCCTTTAAAGACATTGAATATCAGCTCAAGATATCAACCATCAGTCACTTGTCTAAGATTTTATGGATTTCCGCCTTCAAAACAATCACAGTATCTCAGATCCTTTTGCTAGGAAGGTCCATTCCCAGGTAGCTCTCTTACAGAACCTTTACAAAGACTACAGAGTTATTTTTAAATATCAGTAAGTGGAACTTTGGCCAGATCGCTGTCCTTAAGTCATCTTAACATTGCTGACAACATCTGCAGGAGGGCCAGTCCTGAGAGGCTTTGCACAGGAGCAGCCAGCGTAATAAACCCAGTTCTGCTCAGTGGCATACCAATCGTGTTTTTCTCAGGGGGCTCCTGAAGTGTATTTTAGGAGCAGACAGAGACTGTCGAACGTGACTTGGCCACCAACAGCTGCGGTTCCTTTCCTTTCCTTTTCTGATGTCGAGTGTGACTCTGGATCTAATAACGCTGAAGTTAATGCCTTTGATGAAAAATGAATTCAGGGTGATTTTATATAGAACGGGATTTGGTCAGTTTTAGTTTACTCTCTTCAAAATGTTAAGTTGAAACACAGTATTCAGGCTCTTAATGTTCAGTTATTTAGTAGAAGAATATAAGAACATTTCATGGTGGAATAGAAAATGCTTCAAGAAAATGTGATCAGAAACTTTTAAAAGTAACTTGTCTTCATTCATCTTCTCCTCCACCTCTCTCTGGTCTCTCTCCCTCCCCCTGGCGTCCAGGCGGTGTTGGAGAGCACGTGGCCCTCCAGCACCAGAGGAGGATACTTCCTGTGGATGAAGCTGAGAAATGTCGTTCTGGGCGTGGCGCAGTTCAAACGGGCGCTACGACGGCCCGCTCCCCTCACCCAGAGCCCGCTGTCAGGTAAACTGTGATCAACAACCCTCTGCATGCCTCAGAAGAGGAATGTTGTTGTTGTCCATGCATTTAAACCAAGAGCAACCATGAACACTACAGACTGGTATCAGAATCAGTTCATAGTATAAAAAAGAGACTGAACTTATAAGTTACTCACGCAAAAAAATAGATTTAGTGTTTAAGTTTGGATTGTTAACGTTCATACTGTCGTAAACAAATCTGTTTAGCTTTAGGGTAAAGCTGAATATCTATCCAGACCGTTGTTTGTTTATAGTTTATTTCGTTTTTTCTGGTAAAGCCTTAAGGACTACTGGCTGACCAATATCTGTCATTACAGCCATTATTTCTTACAAGTTTGCACTGCATTGACTGCAAAAAAATTTAAGAATAAATTCACTGAGTTCTTATACAAGAAGGTAATTTCAGTCATTTTTTGGTAGCGTTACACATGGACAATACATTAAATAAATCAGGCTAGTATCTGATAATAATTACTCATTAAATATAATCAAAAAAGATGATGATTTACAGAACAATCTGAAGGATAAAACACATTATTAACAATACATGTTCCTACTGCATTCGCAAACCCATGTATCTGAAGCTCAGAAAGGAAAATCAATCCACCCACCATTTCTAAATTACATTTGTCAGGTGTAATTAATGACCCGCAGAGTTTAAAGATAAAACTATAAAACACAACTGTGTGATTTAACTCCCCCCTGCATGCCAGTGAACACCTGCACACCCAGTACATGCTAATCCCCGGCCTGCTAATCCCTGCTTTTTTAAGATACTCCCTGTTACTGGCGTAAGCATTGTGTTCTTAAACTCACCTCCTGAGTTCAGTTTGAAAGAGCCAAAGGTTCACACACACACACACACACACACACACAAGTGAGAGACACAGTTGGATTTAATTTCTCACAATGTTACTGATGACGTAACTTATAATACATCGCTCCACTCCCATCCTGCACTCATATATAATAAGCTTTTACTGTGACACAAGAGGTGAAGACAACTGGCCAAATGCTTCTTTTTAATGTGTTATTTTCTAATAATTTCCTATAAAGTTTCCTGGAAATAACTTTGTAGTATTACAGGGCAAATAGAGGCATTGCTCTGCAACAGTTACTCGGAGTTTATAAGCATTTGTTAATTTCTAGAGGGATTTCCTTGAAAGAAGTGATGAAATCTGGATCTTTTTAAACACAATTAAATATTTATTTTTGGAAACTTAATTCTCCATATTCATCATTGAATTATGTATTTTTTGTAGACAAGTTTCTCATTTGTGACTCTTTAGGCTATGCTATTAATTGGAAGTATAACAAGTGAGTCAGTCTTTGTTTTCCCTATAATTAGTACTAATTTAATCTAAACATTTACAGTAATCAGCTCTAGTAAACTCATAATAAATAAATATACTGTTTTATCCTGGTGGCTAAACATTATACATGTAATTTTAAGTATTTTTAAGCTTATGTTATTAATATTTTGATTCTGGATTTATATTAAATTACAGAAGCAATACACCATCAACAAACTGATTGTTCGTAAGCTCTATAGAAGATAGACACTTCTTTATAGAATAGACACTTATCCAACACTTAAAGACAAATTAAAAAGAAGAACAGTTGATCCCCTGTGGAGCAGAAATGGCGCCCGGCTTCCTTTAACGCCTTGTTGTCTTTGGGCAGATGGCAGCGACCTGGACGCTATGAGTCACGGCAGCCTGGATAGCTCTGCAGACACTAACCTGGCCGAGCAGGGCCCCTACGCCACTGACTCCGTCAAAGTAGACCCCACTGATGATAGATCTAGCACAGGTACACTCAACATGGCTGCTGCTTGACTCAATCTTTCACAGGCAGCCATCTTTGTTCTACATCTTTTTCTTCTCTCTCAATGACATATTTTTTTTTATTTTTATCCTCCTTCCTCATTTGTCCCGCTCACCGACCGGCCTCTTCCTCGTTCCCCCTCTTCCTCTTACACCTTCTAACCTCTGCTGCCTGTTTTTCCACCTTCCTTTCGTCCCTGTTGTCCATCAATGTCTCTCCCTGGTTTTGCGGCTGTGGTTTCTGCTCTGCTCTGTCCCTAACCCTGCCCTTCACTCTGGCCCTGCCTGTGTTGCCCTTGCATGCAGCCGGCCGTGGGGGCGGCAGCGTGGGCGCCAGGGCCCTGGTGGCCCACTCACACTGGGGGGGCTGTGAGCTCAGAGAAGCCACCCTCCACCCAGGTAAACCTCTCTGTCAGCCTGCCTGTCTGTCTCTCTCTCTGGTTGCATTTCTATCATCTTGCAACTGTATTATTTTCTGACTTACTTAGCCCTTCCATCAACACGCCTTTTCGGTTTCTCTTCGTCTCTGTGATCTTTGCCTCATCTTTCTTTCCTCCTCTGTGTCATCTCTCTCTCTCTGGCACATCACAGTCTGCTGCTCCTCTCTTTCTCATCTCTCTTTTGCATTTCTCTCTCCTCGCATCACCACAGAGTGATTTGTCATTGTCAATTATGGCGAGTAATTACCCAGAGGCACATTCTTTTTGATTACGGAAATAATTTTAATCATGGAGATGGCAACTCGGCAGGAGACTTCGGCACGTGCGCACAAAGTCTGGGAGGGGACCGCAGCTCACAGCACAGCAGGAGGGAAGGACCTCGATGTGCAGTTCATTGATTATTATAGTCCTGGAATGAGTTTTGTCACTTGCCATCAGTTGCGAGTCGCTCCATACTGTATTACAGCCGAGCTGTGCAGCCTCATGTTTTATTTAGAGATGCCGACCAGAGAGCTTCACGGGAAAGATGAAAGAGGAGAACAAATCATCAGACAGCTGGTTGCCTGGAGACCTAGGGAAGTTTTAGAGGCAGATAGAAGAGTCAGCCTGGAGTGACAGCAGGGTTTTTTTTTTTTTATTCCCAACGTCAAGTCTTAACAGTTAAATTCATTAGCAGCTGTGAAACTGAACTTGGCTTTCTCGCAGTAACTGTAGATGCCCTGAGGAGGATTCTTTTATTCAGCACAGCTTAGCTGCTTTTTCTCTTCTCTCCCTACAACAGTGCCGTGCCTCCCAGAACTAAGGAGATGAAAGGGAAGAAATGCCTCCTTTTTTTTTATTTTTTTTATGTATGTTTCATATATCTCTCCTACCACAGTGTAAAGCTGCAATAGATGCACTTTTTTAAACACCAAAAAGCTTTTTAAATGAAGGTAAATAAAGGATTTGGTGGTTTGTTCAGTAATACGAGGGGTGGCACACATACAGTGTTGTTGAAGTATTTCTCTTATACTTGAATCGTTCCTCTGCATAAATTTTCCATGCGTTGTGTTGCATATTTCTGTTGATCTTGTGGTTTAATATCAGAGAGACTTCAGTACTTCTATTGTCCCTCTTATCTAATTTCATCTTTGTCTCTGTTCTCTAGGAGATCAGTCAGACTTGGGTTATAACTCACTGTCCAAAGAGGAGGTTCGGAGAGGAGACCCCAGTGCCCAGGATGCCGTCCCTGACAAAGATGACAAGAAGGAGAGCGACTGCAGCTCCTGTCAGTAGTCTGTCTGATCTGATATCACCTGATATTTCTGTCTACTGTACCTTCTAAAAATGATAGCTTGGCAGCTTCGTAGCCACATGGGATTTCCCCTTCCTCTGCCTTGATCTTTCTGTCTGTCTCCTCCAGAGATGATTCATTCATTTTGGTTTCTCAACATCAAAGCATTTCAGTCATGTGCTGTTCTTTCTTTTTAAGAGAAATGCAATTTTTTTCAAGCTGTGCACATACTAAAAGAGACTGATTTTAAATTGTAATTTCTGTATTTGTAGTGTCAGAGACTGAAAGTGCCAAGGGAAGTAAAGACTGCCTCCCTCAGCTGGACATGGAAGTCCATTCTTCCTTCAAATCCCGTGGCATTGTTCGTAGCAGTTGTCCGTATGACGATTCATCCTGTAAACCCAAGAGCTCCGCCAGCGCAGGTAGAGAAGAAAACTTAAATAGATTCAGTAGTTTTGAATAGTAGGGGGGGACAGAAATGTTTTTCCCCACTGTATATTTCCATTTCAAAGTTTTCCTTTAGTGATATCCTCAATATTCCTCAACGTAGAAACACGGACCCTCAGTTTTAATTATTTCAATACCCATGAGCCTCAGCTGCTGTTGCTATGGCGAGGAAGTCAGAGGAAAGAATGAGAGCCGTAGTAAAAGACTTTGTTTTCAGAATCTGAAAGTGATATCATTTTAACTGCTGATTTTGTTATCTCCTCAAAGTGTAATCTTCCGCTCACTGTTAGCAGCCCATGCTAGCAGAATTGTACACTTAGTGATTGCATGTTTCTTCAGGCTTGTACCTTTTATCAAATCTAATGCTGTTGGTTTATATTAATGATTCAATCAGGAGAGTTTCTTGTCCATTCAAGCCTTGTAGTGCAGCATCACCTCACATCATCTATGCAGAAAATGTATGGGATTTCTGGAACCCTGTACGCCCAAAATAACTCGCTTTGTAACTCACTCGTCACTTCCTAATATAAATGTAAATAATTCCCCTTCCTCTCTCTCAGGCCATGTTGCAGGTCTCCTCTTTACTTCCTCTCTGGATGAGATCGGCGAGGTCCACACCAACAGTTTGCTCAGGAGACATAAGAGCGCTCTGGAGGAGGTGGTGGGCAGCGCCAGCAGCGGCTCGGCCCTCGACTGGCAGGGTGTGAGGAGCCGCCGGCTGAGCGGCGACACAGTGGGCAGCAGCGGCAGCGGCACCACTGTCCTCGGCCTGGGTATGAGCCAGGGAGAAACGGACCCAGATAAGATCGCAGGACACCTGGGCGCAGATGTCAAAATTCTCTCCGGTGCCAACTTCAGTAAGAATAAAAGGCCTCGCTCGCTGGCCCTGGGAGGGCTAGAGGGGGCGGCTGCTAAGGCAGGGGCTGCCAGAAGTCACAATCACATGGAGGAGGAAGAGGAGACGGAGGGACAGGACTCCAGTGATGAGGACCGAAGTAATACAGAAGCTATTTTTGATTTGGAGGATCTGGATTTAGACAAGCCTGCCATGAGGGCTGGCATCGGCTCTCATAAAACCAACAAATCTCATAAGAAACTTGTTGAACGCAGTGCCAGCTACGGTGGCATGAGCACTGAGGCGTCCAGAGGGACCGTCAAGCGCACAGGCATTGAGACGGGATATGATCCTCTATCCCTGCTGGCAGCACAGTCACAGACGGAACAGGAAAATGACGATCAGTACCCAGAGGGGGACGAGGCCAACACGCCGAGCGCCCGCAGGCACTTAGCCAGGGAGATCGAGCTCTACATGAACCACATGGGCAGCCCGCTGAGAAGCCGTACTCCCAGTCTGGACTTGCAAGACCCGGCCAGCCCCCTCATCCTCCACCCTTCCTCACTCTCTGCTCCCCGCAGAGCCAGTCTGCCCTACAGCTCCCCCCTCAGGCCCGCTGGAGTGCCGCGCTCCTGCACCTTCCACCCACCCTCGCCCTCCCAAACCATCTCACGCCAACGCCTATGGTCGTCGCCTCCCTGTCGTAGCTCTAGCACCACCCCCAGCCCCAGCCCTCGACCCAGCCCGTACAGGGACAGGACGGACAGGATGGGCCTGGCGTCACCTTCACCTTCGTCCTCCTCTTTCGCTCTGGACACTCTGCTCACACCAACGCTTGATGTATTCAAGACCAGTGTGTTCTCTGCTGGGAAGGGTGTGGCAGAGAAGGCGAGCCGCTGGTATTCCCGTCTGGCCACGTACACCACACCTACCAAGGTACTTGTTGTCAAAGTTAACTGACTGTTGTGTGATACAGGTGAACATTTGATCAAACACATCTCAGTCTATTTGTGTTCAGTAAAGCAATGCAGATATGATTTGTAGCAAATGGGCAAAACAGACAAATCTGTGGCAGAGAGTATTAAGCTGAGCCTAAAGTTGGATGGCTGCTGCCATCTTGTGGCCTTTTAAGGGTCTGACAGTATTCTTGCTGTGGACAGCATGCATCTTCCCTAGTCGGTGTCAGAGCTCACACTAATTGTACCGTGGTATCACCTAGGGATGGGCATTGGTACTCGATTAGCATTTGGTCAATTTATACAGTACTGACATTTTTCTATATAGCAAAAATGAGCAGTCACAATTGTGCTTTCAGTGTTTTAAGTCACACATCACTTGATCTTTACATTTGTTTTCCATTGTTGGCTAATTTAGATAAATGAAAGCAATAGATAATTACAGATATTCTTACAAAAATATGGGTTAAAGTGGCTGCAGATGGAAATCGATAACAGCTTTTATTTACCAGCCAAATTACTGAATTATTGAAATCATTGCAACATCTTTGGGGATGTTTTTTTTCTTCATTTAGGCTGATCTTCACTGTAGCTTCTGTTTCCTTCATCAGCAGCACAGTTTGTGTGTTTGCTTTATGTTAAAAGCTTGAATAGCAAAGTACTGTACCTTTCTAGTGCTTTTATTTAATAATTCTAGATGGATTTGTGAGGTTAAGGTCATGCATTTGAGTGGGGACGTCTGTACAAAATGTTTTATTTGTACCTCATGTGAGCAGTCTTGGTTGTTAGTCAGTGCTGAACTTGATCTACTGTTGCTGTGAGTATTCCATGACGACATTAACCTGCCCGGCTCTCTCCTGCTCATTCAGGACGGTCACAGTGATCGTCTCAGCGTGTCCTCGCTCGGTGGAGATCCAGACGGCTCCTCTCTGCTGGATGAGGAGGACTGTGGGGAGTCGGAGAGCTTTGTGGTTTCTCCACAGAGGAATGGCCCCATGGGGCCCCGCAGGAGCCCCAGACGCAGCCCCCTCCGCAGCAAACTGGACAGCCCCACTGCAGGCTCCAGCCTCGGGAGACCCACTTCTCTGCGCCCTGGTAAGAGCAACCCCCGCTCGAGTGACAGTTAAAGCCAGTGGGCCCATAACGTTTTAATGTAATAAAAGAAACCCACAATAGATGCACATTAGACCAGTTGACCCCCAGTCTGAGGATTTTGTCCTAAGGAATCCCCTGAAAGTCTTCATAGTCAATTCCTCTCTTGCTGGGAACCCCCTTCAACCCCCTCAAGGACCCTAGTTTGACTGATGACAGCTGAAAAAACTATTTTACTTGTAACAAACAAGAAATTTCCAGAAATCTAGAGTTTGATTGATTGAATTTGAACGTTCTCTCTCTTGATTCAGTATTGATTCTTCATTGTTATATTTTCATTTTTCTTCTTTGCGTAACGACAAACAATGAGACACAGACAGAAAATGTCAGTCTGTTAAAAATTCATTAAGAAAGCAAACAAAAATGTATAAAACATATCCCCATATCTCCCGCTTTTCAATAAAATATACATAAACGGTATTTAGCGGAGCAAGAGAAGTCAGGTCGTATCTTCACCAGTGACAGGTTCTGACTCCGTCGTCACATATTCTGATCATGCCTTTGTACTCCTGCAGGATGCGTCCTCTCGCCTCCTGGCTTCCTTCTGCCAGACAAGTCGGACCTCGGCTCTTCGCGCTACACCAGCAACACCAGCATCTTCAACAACTACGCCATGGAGGTAAAAACTACAAGATGGAGAGTAGTGGAGTGTTATTCCGCAGTAGAAAGGTGGTCAGTGGTGCAGATTATTACTGAGAATTAGCGGTTAAGTAGATGGTTTTTTAAATCTTGATCATCTTTGGTCAGTAAGTTCACCAGTGTGTGTGTGTGTGTGTGTGTGTGTGTGTGTGTGTATCCAGCTGCTGAT